GATTGATTGATTGATTGATTGATTGATTGATTGATTGACTAGATAGGGTCTCACTATGTAGCCATGACTGGCCTAGAATCCTTGTGTAGACCAGGCTGGCCTCCAACTCACAGAGATCCACCTGCTTCTGCCTCCCTTATGTTTTTGTTTGTTCTGACACAAGATCTTAACTCTGTAGCCTGGAGTGACTTGGAACCATGTAGCCCATGCTGGACTCAAACTCAAAGCAATCCTCTTCCCTTAGCCTCAGGAGTGCTGGGACAATAGGCATGCATCATCATCATGCCAGGCTCTTGACCATTTTGAGTCAGATAGTGTGTCCTGGTGATGGTTGGCAGTGCACATGACTGGGCTCGTGTTGGGGCACCTGATGCAACTGTTGGGGGGTATGGGAGGGATCCGAATACCCAGGAACAGGTCTCTTTGAGCAGTCTACCCCATTCAGGTTTCAAGGCCTTGGAGGCTGTCCACATGGCTGGCTGGCCTTGTTCATGGACAGTCTTGCTGCTTCAAGGGAGGCTGGCATGAAACAGTCAGTGTTGGGGGTTGTTATTCCTAGAAACACCTTTTTCTCCTGTCTTAGGGCTCCTATTTGTGATTTGAAAGAGGAAACCTTAGGACTGGAGATGCAGCTCAGTTGATAGAGTGCTTGCTTAGCCTAAACCCAGACTGGTTGTATGCACCTGTCATCCCAGCACTTGGGAGGTGGAGGCAGAAGAATCAGGAATTCTCAGTCATCCTCAGCTATATAGGGAATGAGGCCAGCCTGGGATACCTGAGACGCTGTCTGGAAAAAGAAAAAGAGAAAAAGAAAAAAAACTTAGAGCCCAGCGTCTCAGGGCTCACAGTGAAGTCCTGGGTCTCCAGACTGACTGCATTTAGGGGAGACCTTGAACCCCAAGAACCCGATTTCTCAAAGCACAGTCTCCAGGAATGGAGAAGCCTCCAGAACTGGTGCTGCTGGACAGACACACAGCATCTGTGAGCCTGCCCCAGCCCTCCCTCCCTCCTCTGCCTCCTCCTCATCTCCCCCACCCAGCACCACCACATTTGGAAGGAGATGGGAGCTTATTTATAAAAGTCACACTTAGGAAGGGAGCTGGCCTGCTTCCTCGCTGTGCTGCAGGCTGGGCTCAGCCCTCCAGCCTTCTCCAGCCCCACCTCTCCTGGGCCTGCAGATGGACAGTGAAACATCATGGGGAATAAGAAATGGGGACCCTGGGTCCACAGAAATCAGATTAACCCTTCAGAGAACAAGTGAAATGCTAAGACTGGTCCAAGATCACACAGCTGGGGACAGGCTTTGGTGTCATACCAAGGTCTGACAAAGTGTGACAACCTGTTATGGGGTTGCAGTGGCAGGATGCAAAACCATGACCTCGCTGGTGCTCCCTTGTTGCCATTCTCTGCACTGTCCCCTAGAGGCTATTGCAGCTGTCATCATACCCAGGTAGTCATACTCTGACTCATCCCCACAACTCTGAGGTCTCCCTGATTTTATCTGTCTTGCCCTCTCTCCTTCCTACTTTCTTTCTTTCCCTCCCTCGCTCCCTCGCTCCTTTGCTCCCTCCCTCCCTCCATTTCATTTGAGATAAGCTGACCTTAAACTTGCTGTATAGCCAAGAATGACCTTGAACTACTGATCTTCCAGCCTCCACCTCCGAAATGCTGGGATGATAAACATGTATTGCAGTATTGGTTTTTTGCTTTTTTTTTTTCTCCTGAAACAAAGTTTCACTATGTAGCAAAGGCCAGCCTAGAAGTCAGTATGTAGCCCAGGTGGTGGCCTTGAGCTGTAAGCAATTCTTCTGCTTGAGTTTCTTAAGTGTTAGGTGAACCATGTGACTGGCTTTTACTTCTTTTTATTTAAAAAAATTACTTTTATTTATTTATTTATTTTTGAGATAGGGCCTCCCTGTAGCTCCAGCTGTCCTGGAACTCACTATGTAGTCCAGGCTGAGCTCTGAACTCAACAGAGATCCTCCTGCCTTTGCCTCCCAAGTGCTGGGACTACAGGCGTGCACCACCATGTCCGGCTATTTATTTTTATTTTATCTGTATGAGTGTTTTTGCTACATGTGTGTAAGTACACTCATGTCATGCAAATGCCGGCAAGGGTCAGAAGAGGGCATTGGAGTCCCCTGGAACTAGAGTTATGATTATTAACTGCCATATGGTACTAGGAACTGAACCCAGGTCCTCTGCTAGAGCAGTCAATGCTCTTAATTGCTGAGCTATTTCTCTAGCCCCCAGGCTTTTACTTTTTATTATTTCAGTCTTTTTCTACGTGTTTTCTTTTTTGTTTGTTTTGTTTTTTGTCTTTTTGAGACAGGGTCTCCCTGTAGCCCCAGCTGTCCTGGAACTTATTATGTAGAACAGGCTGGCCTCGAACTCACAAAGACCTGCCTGCCTCTGCCTCCCAAGTGCTGGGATTAAAGGTGTGCGCTACCACGCCTGGCCTTTTGTTTTGTTTTTTGTCTTTTTCTACGTTTATTTAGTGTGTGTGTGTGTGTGTGTGTAAGTGTGTGTAAGTCAGAGGACAGCTTTGGGAGTTGATTTTATCCTTTCACTGGATGGGTCCTGATGATTGAAGTCAGGTTGTCATACTTGGCAACAAGTGCCCTTATCTACTGAGCCATCTCATTGGCTCTTACTTTTTTTTTTTTTTTTTTTTTTTTGAGACAAGATTTCACTATGTAGCACTGACTAGCCTGGAACTTGCTATTTAGACCAGGCTGGCTTCAAACTCACAGAGATCTGCCTGCTTCTGCCACTGAAGTACTGGGATTAAAGGATTGCACCACCACACTGGAGTGGCCCTTACTTTTTATTCTGAGATAGGGTCTCACACATACTAGCCTGTAACTCTATTATCTTTGCCTCTGCAGTGTTGATGTTACAGGGCATGCATGACCAAACCTGTGGCTTCCTGATTTTCTGTGGTGGTTTTTGGTTGTTTTTGAATCATGTACTCATTACATGGTTGAGGAGGACCTTGAACTTCTGATTTTCTTGCCTTCACCTTTCATGTGCTGGGAATATAAGTATGTATCACCACACCCAGCTTATTTGGTGCTGGGGATGGAACCCTGGGCTTCCTGTGTGCTAGGCAAGCACTCTATCGAATGAGCCACATCCCTAGCCCCAGATCTTGAATTACTTTCTAGGGATTTCTGGAACTGACTGATATATCCCAGGCTAGACAAGAGTAAACTCAGAACATTGGTCATGTGTGTGCTGGGCCAGCATGACACTACAAGAAACAGAATGAATGTGAAGGGACAGTCGGGGCAGGCCAGCCTAGAAGGAGAAGAAGAAAGAGAACAGACAGAGCTGGCCTGCAGAGGAGGTGTGAGGGCAATCTGAAAGGAGAGTCTACCTCAACTGACTGTAGAATTTAGACTGCCCAAGTGAAAGAGATCAGAGCTACGCCTGCTGTATCTGGTGGCACAAAGCCTGTCATCTCAGAAGGCCAAGGCAGGAAGAGTACAAGTTCAAGCCCTGTCTTGGCTACAGAGTGACTTGATTTAAGACCAGCCTTGGCAGCTTAGTGAGACCTTGTCTCAAAAAATATAACAAGGACTGGGGATGTAACTCGGGAGGGCGTGGCTAAGTGAAAGAACACCTGCCTAGAATCCCCCAGTGAGGGGCTGGGGGTATGACTCAGTG